TATTCCCTTCGGAATCACCCTTCCTTCCGAAAACCCCCTCGCTGAATTGATCGCCAAGCTCTTGGAGATCATTGCCAAATTGGAGAGCTTCGAATTCGGAACTGGAGCCCCTCTCCCAGTCACCTTCCCATCATTGTAAATTGAGATTTGAAACGTTCATGGTGTAACCGAGTTTCGCAATAAATACATATTGCATCGACGTCGTTTTCTTTTTCAATTTTCTTACAAAAATATGGGTTTGCAACTCTCATTGAAAGCGATGAAATGGCACGTCAAGAAAAGATAGATAAATCGCGGTCATGCCATTTTTTCTGTCCGATAAAACGGTTTCTTCACTTTTCGAGTTGCGCCCAAGGTAATTGGAAACAGTAAGCTATGCAACTTGGTCTCGAACAATTCAGATGGTTTTTGGAGGTCTTCGAAGCTACCTCTTGCTTTAGGTGGGTAGTGTAATTTAGGTGGCGATGAAACCCTTATTTTTAGCAACAACTAGAAACACAGCCTTGGAATGCACCACAGGTTCTATTTCCTATCACTAGTTTAAACAAGGAACCAGAAAATTAAGTTAAGCCAAGAAATTATACCATTTTAGGCAACAAGTGTAAGATGAGCAAATAAAAGCAGATTTTGTCATGAATCACGAAGGCCTTGGGGTTTCATGCACCTAGAACAGGCTACCAATGCATTACAGTCAAGCCTCTAATCATAAATCCACTTTTTTTGGCTTCTGTATATTTTATTACCTAAAATTGGAAAAACGTAAAGCAACTTACTCTTCGAACTTTGTGCCAAGTCATATTAAAAGTGGAGCTTTTTACTTGGTTCGGAATGAAATTTTCTACTCGTTACGTGAAGATGAAGACAGAGAAACGTTGTACGTCAAGATTTTTCGACCATCTAATTTTCTCTCCACGCGAAGATTGACATTCCTTTTCCTCTTATCAGAGAGTCCAAAAAATCCGTTTGAGTGACCGTTTTTATATACGAGATCAAGACAAAAGGTCAAATATTGCGTAAACTGTTAAATCCATATTTTTGAAAGAAAGCTGATAAAGAAAACGAGGTCGATGCAATATGTATTTATTGCGAAACTGGGTTACACCATGAACGTTTCAAATCTCAATTTACAATGATGGGAAGGTGACTGGGAGAGGGGCTCCAGTTCCGAATTCGAAGCTCTCCAATTTGGCAATGATCTCCAAGAGCTTGGCGATCAATTCAGCGAGGGGGTTTTCGGAAGGAAGGGTGATTCCGAAGGGAATATCTCTCTTGGCACGGCCGCCCTCTTCCGAAGGGACGGTCACTTCCTCAGGGTTGATGGTGGGCAGGTGCAGACATTCCAAGATCTGGTTCAGGATGTCGAGCAGAACGTCGAATGTGGGCTCAGCGGTGACTGGCTCGAAGGCATCTCTCTTGACACGGCCAGCATCAGAAGGGATGGTGACGGCTTCGGGGTTGACGGTGGGGAGGTTCAGAGATTCGAGGATCTTGTTCAGAAGCTCGATGATTACGACCAATGGAGATGGTGGAAGGCCAGTGACTCCAGAGAAGATATCTCTCTTGACTCGATCTCCTTCAACTCCCAATTCGGGGAACGTAACGGCCTCGGGATCGACGGTTGGAAGGTGGAGATCCTCCAGAATTTGGTTGAGAATTTGAACCAAAGCCTCCAAAAGTGGCTCTTGTGGCTCCGGCAAAGTTACAGGTAAAACATTTGGAAGGGATGGGATGTCCGGTAGAGTTACAGGTGAAAGTTTTGGAAGAGATGGGATGCTTGGGAAGCCTTGAGCCATGGAGAAGGCCAAGACGCAGAGGACCACAACACACTTCATTTTGGGGGTTTCGCTGTTTTCGAATGGATTCGAAATATTGATGAAAGGTTGGTGGGCGATGGCTTATATACATATTTTAAGTAAGAGTACATCAATTAAAGAGCTTCGGTGACGTCAACTTCCGTCTTGTCAACCCTCTTCGTACGTTTTTACAAACAGACCAAGCAAAGAGGACCACTGGTAGGGTCAATGGATCTGAATAATTGATCAAAATCCGGTGGGTTTTTGAAACTGAACCCTTTAATAATATGGAATATCGTTTTGACGAAAATAGCTCGGCGTATCACCAATACAATCAGATTAACTGTTTTGTTATATAAGCCATCGCCCACCGACCTTTTATCAATATTTCGAATCCATTCGAAAACAGCGAAACCCCCAAAATGAAGTGTGTTGTGGTCCTCTGCGTCTTGGCCTTCTCCATGGCCCAAGGCTTTCCAAGCATCCCATCTCTTCCACAACTTTCACCTGTAACTCTACCGGACATCCCATCCCTTCCAAATGTTCTACCTGTAACTTTGCCGGAGCCACAAGAGCCACTTTTGGAGGCTTTGGTTCAAATTCTCAACCAAATTCTGGAGGATCTCCACCTTCCAACCGTCGATCCCGAGGCCGTTACCTTCCCCGAATTGGGAGTCGAGGGAGATCGAGTCAAGAGAGACATCTTCTCTGGAGTCACTGGCCTTCCACCATCTCCATTGGTCGTAATCATCGAGCTTCTGAACAAGATCCTCGAATCTCTGAACCTCCCCACCGTCAACCCCGAAGCCGTCACCATCCCTTCTGATGCAGGCCGTGTCAAGAGAGATGCCTTCGAGCCAGTCACCGCTGAGCCCACTTTCGACGTGTTGCTCGACATCCTGAACCAGATTTTGGAATGTCTGCACCTGCCCACCATCAACCCTGAGGAAGTGACCGTCCCTTCGGAAGAGGGCGGCCGTGCCAAGAGAGATATTCCCTTCGGAATCACCCTTCCTTCCGAAAACCCCCTCGCTGAATTGATCGCCAAGCTCTTGGAGATCATTGCCAAATTGGAGAGCTTCGAATTCGGAACTGGAGCCCCTCTCCCAGTCACCTTCCCATCATTGTAAATTGAGATTTGAAACGTTCATGGTGTAACCGAGTTTCGCAATAAATACATATTGCATCGACGTCGTTTTCTTTTTCAATTTTCATACAAAAATATGGGTTTGCAACTCTCATTGAAAGCGATGAAACGGCACGTCAAGAAAAGATAGATAAATCGCGGTCATGCCATTTTTTCTGTCCGATAAAACGGTTACTTCACTTTTCGAGTTGCGCCCAAGGTAATTGGAAACAGTAAGCTATGCAACTTGGTCTCGAACAATTCAGATGGTTTTTGGAGGTCTTCGAAGCTACCTCTTGCTTTAGGTGGGTAGTGTAATTTAGGTGGCGATGAAACCCTTATTTTTAGCAACAACTAGAAACACAGCCTTGGAATGCACCACAGGTTCTATTTCCTATCACTAGTTTAAACAAGGAACCAGAAAATTAAGTTAAGCCAAGAAATTATACCATTTTAGGCAACAAGTGTAAGATGAGCAAATAAAAGCAGATTTTGTCATGAATCACGAAGGCCTTGGGGTTTCATGCACCTAGAACAGGCTACCAATGCATTACAGTCAAGCCTCTAATCATAAATCCACTTTTTTTTGGCTTCTGTATATTTTATTACCTAAAATTGGAAAAACGTAAAGCAACTTACTCTTCGAACTTTGTGCCAAGTCATATTAAAAGTGGAGCTTTTTACTTGGTTCGGAATGAAATTTTCTACTCGTTACGTGAAGATGAAGACAGAGAAACGTTGTACGTCAAGATTTTTCGACCATCTAATTTTCTCTCCACGCGAAGATTGACATTCCTTTTCCTCTTATCAGAGAGTCCAAAAAATCCGTTTGAGTGACCGTTTTTATATACGAGATCAAGACAAAAGGTCAAATATTGCGTAAACTGTTAAATCCATATTTTTGAAAGAAAGCTGATAAAGAAAACGAGGTCGATGCAATATGTATTTATTGCGAAACTGGGTTACACCATGAACGTTTCAAATCTCAATTTACAATGATGGGAAGGTGACTGGGAGAGGGGCTCCAGTTCCGAATTCGAAGCTCTCCAATTTGGCAATGATCTCCAAGAGCTTGGCGATCAATTCAGCGAGGGGGTTTTCGGAAGGAAGGGTGATTCCGAAGGGAATATCTCTCTTGGCACGGCCGCCCTCTTCCGAAGGGACGGTCACTTCCTCAGAGTTGATGGTGGGCAGGTGCAGACATTCCAAGATCTGGTTCAGGATGTCGAGCAGAACGTCGAATGTGGGCTCAGCGGTGACTGGCTCGAAGGCATCTCTCTTGACACGGCCAGCATCAGAAGGGATGGTGACGGCTTCGGGGTTGACGGTGGGGAGGTTCAGAGATTCGAGGATCTTGTTCAGAAGCTCGATGATTACGACCAATGGAGATGGTGGAAGGCCAGTGACTCCAGAGAAGATATCTCTCTTGACTCGATCTCCTTCAACTCCCAATTCGGGGAACGTAACGGCCTCGGGATCGACGGTTGGAAGGTGGAGATCCTCCAGAATTTGGTTGAGAATTTGAACCAAAGCCTCCAAAAGTGGCTCTTGTGGCTCCGGCAAAGTTACAGGTAAAACATTTGGAAGGGATGGGATGTCCGGTAGAGTTACAGGTGAAAGTTTTGGAAGAGATGGGATGCTTGGGAAGCCTTGAGCCATGGAGAAGGCCAAGACGCAGAGGACCACAACACACTTCATTTTGGGGGTTTCGCTGTTTTCGAATGGGTTCGAAATATTGATGAAAGGTTGGTGGGCGATGGCTTATATACATATTTTAAGTAAGAGTACATCAATTAAAGAGCTTCGGTGACGTCAACTTCCGTCTTGTCAACCCTCTTCGTACGTTTTTACAAACAGACCAAGCAAAGAGGACCACTGGTAGGGTCAATGGATCTGAATAATTGATCAAAATCCGGTGGGTTTTTGAAACTGAACCCTTTAATAATATGGAATATCGTTTTGACGAAAATAGCTCGGCGTATCACCAATACAATCAGATTAACTGTTTTGTTATATAAGCCATCGCCCACCGACCTTTTATCAATATTTCGAATCCATTCGAAAACAGCGAAACCCCCAAAATGAAGTGTGTTGTGGTCCTCTGCGTCTTGGCCTTCTCCATGGCCCAAGGCTTTCCAAGCATCCCATCTCTTCCACAACTTTCACCTGTAACTCTACCGGACATCCCATCCCTTCCAAATGTTCTACCTGTAACTTTGCCGGAGCCACAAGAGCCACTTTTGGAGGCTTTGGTTCAAATTCTCAACCAAATTCTGGAGGATCTCCACCTTCCAACCGTCGATCCCGAGGCCGTTACCTTCCCCGATTTGGGAGCCGAGGGAGATCGAGTCAAGAGAGATATCTTCTCTGGAGTCACTGGCCTTCCACCATCTCCATTGGTCGTAATCATCGAGCTTCTGAACAAGATCCTCGAATCTCTGAACCTCCCCACCGTCAACCCCGAAGCCGTCACCATCCCTTCTGATGCCGGCCGTGTCAAGAGAGATATTCCCTTCGGAATCACCCTTCCTTCCGAAAACCCCCTCGCTGAATTGATCGCCAAGCTCTTGGAGATCATTGCCAAATTGGAGAGCTTCGAATTCGGAACTGGAGCCCCTCTCCCAGTCACCTTCCCATCATTGTAAATTGAGATTTGAAACGTTCATGGTGTAACCGAGTTTCGCAATAAATACATATTGCATCGACGTCGTTTTCTTTTTCAATTTTCTTACAAAAATATGGGTTTGCAACTCTCATTGAAAGCGATGAAATGGCACGTCAAGAAAAGATAGATAAATCGCGGTCATGCCATTTTTTCTGTCCGATAAAACGGTTTCTTCACTTTTCGAGTTGCGCCCAAGGTAATTGGAAACAGTAAGCTATGCAACTTGGTCTCGAACAATTCAGATGGTTTTTGGAGGTCTTCGAAGCTACCTCTTGCTTTAGGTGGGTAGTGTAATTTAGGTGGCGATGAAACCCTTATTTTTAGCAACAACTAGAAACACAGCCTTGGAATGCACCACAGGTTCTATTTCCTATCACTAGTTTAAACAAGGAACCAGAAAATTAAGTTAAGCCAAGAAATTATACCATTTTAGGCAACAAGTGTAAGATGAGCAAATAAAAGCAGATTTTGTCATGAATCACGAAGGCCTTGGGGTTTCATGCACCTAGAACAGGCTACCAATGCATTACAGTCAAGCCTCTAATCATAAATCCACTTTTTTTTGGCTTCTGTATATTTTATTACCTAAAATTGGAAAAACGTAAAGCAACTTACTCTTCGAACTTTGTGCCAAGTCATATTAAAAGTGGAGCTTTTTACTTGGTTCGGAATGAAATTTTCTACTCGTTACGTGAAGATGAAGACAGAGAAACGTTGTACGTCAAGATTTTTCGACCATCTAATTTTCTCTCCACGCGAAGATTGACATTCCTTTTCCTCTTATCAGAGAGTCCAAAAAATCCGTTTGAGTGACCGTTTTTATATACGAGATCAAGACAAAAGGTCAAATATTGCGTAAACTGTTAAATCCATATTTTTGAAAGAAAGCTGATAAAGAAAACGAGGTCGATGCAATATGTATTTATTGCGAAACTGGGTTACACCATGAACGTTTCAAATCTCAATTTACAATGATGGGAAGGTGACTGGGAGAGGGGCTCCAGTTCCGAATTCGAAGCTCTCCAATTTGGCAATGATCTCCAAGAGCTTGGCGATCAATTCAGCGAGGGGGTTTTCGGAAGGAAGGGTGATTCCGAAGGGAATATCTCTCTTGGCACGGCCGCCCTCTTCCGAAGGGACGGTCACTTCCTCAGGGTTGATGGTGGGCAGGTGCAGACATTCCAAGATCTGGTTCAGGATGTCGAGCAGAACGTCGAATGTGGGCTCAGCGGTGACTGGCTCGAAGGCATCTCTCTTGACACGGCCCGCATCAGAAGGGATGGTGACGGCTTCGGGGTTGACGGTGGGGAGGTTCAGAGATTCGAGGATCTTGTTCAGAAGCTCGATGATTACGACCAATGGAGATGGTGGAAGGCCAGTGACTCCAGAGAAGATATCTCTCTTGACTCGATCTCCTTCAACTCCCAATTCGGGGAACGTAACGGCCTCGGGATCGACGGTTGGAAGGTGGAGATCCTCCAGAATTTGGTTGAGAATTTGAACCAAAGCCTCCAAAAGTGGCTCTTGTGGCTCCGGCAAAGTTACAGGTAAAACATTTGGAAGGGATGGGATGTCCGGTAGAGTTACAGGTGAAAGTTTTGGAAGAGATGGGATGCTTGGGAAGCCTTGAGCCATGGAGAAGGCCAAGACGCAGAGGACCACAACACACTTCATTTTGGGGGTTTCGCTGTTTTCGAATGGATTCGAAATATTGATGAAATGTTGGTGGGCGATGGCTTATATACATATTTTAAGTAAGAGTACATCAATTAAAGAGCTTCGGTGACGTCAACTTCCGTCTTGTCAACCCTCTTCGTACGTTTTTACAAACAGACCAAGCAAAGAGGACCACTGGTAGGGTCAATGGATCTGAATAATTGATCAAAATCCGGTGGGTTTTTGAAACTGAACCCTTTAATAATATGGAATATCGTTTTGACGAAAATAGCTCGGCGTATCACCAATACAATCAGATTAACTGTTTTGTTATATAAGCCATCGCCCACCGACCTTTTATCAATATTTCGAATCCATTCGAAAACAGCGAAACCCCCAAAATGAAGTGTGTTGTGGTCCTCTGCGTCTTGGCCTTCTCCATGGCCCAAGGCTTTCCAAGCATCCCATCTCTTCCACAACTTTCACCTGTAACTCTACCGGACATCCCATCCCTTCCAAATGTTCTACCTGTAACTTTGCCGGAGCCACAAGAGCCACTTTTGGAGGCTTTGGTTCAAATTCTCAACCAAATTCTGGAGGATCTCCACCTTCCAACCGTCGATCCCGAGGCCGTTACCTTCCCCGATTTGGGAGCCGAGGGAGATCGAGTCAAGAGAGATATCTTCTCTGGAGTCACTGGCCTTCCACCATCTCCATTGGTCGTAATCATCGAGCTTCTGAACAAGATCCTCGAATCTCTGAACCTCCCCACCGTCAACCCCGAAGCCGTCACCATCCCTTCTGATGCTGGCCGTGTCAAGAGAGATGCCTTCGAGCCAGTCACCGCTGAGCCCACATTCAACGTTCTGCTCGACATCCTGAACCAGATCTTGGAATGTCTGCACCTGCCCACCATCAACCCTGAGGAAGTGACCGTCCCTTCGGAAGAGGGCGGCCGTGCCAAGAGAGATATTCCCTTCGGAATCACCCTTCCTTCCGAAAACCCCCTCGCTGAATTGATCGCCAAGCTCTTGGAGATCATTGCCAAATTGGAGAGCTTCGAATTCGGAACTGGAGCCCCTCTCCCAGTCACCTTCCCATCATTGTAAATTGAGATTTGAAACGTTCATGGTGTAACCGAGTTTCGCAATAAATACATATTGCATCGACGTCGTTTTCTTTTTCAATTTTCTTACAAAAATATGGGTTTGCAACTCTCATTGAAAGCGATGAAATGGCACGTCAAGAAAAGATAGATAAATCGCGGTCATGCCATTTTTTCTGTCCGATAAAACGGTTTCTTCACTTTTCGAGTTGCGCCCAAGGTAATTGGAAACAGTAAGCTATGCAACTTGGTCTCGAACAATTCAGATGGTTTTTGGAGGTCTTCGAAGCTACCTCTTGCTTTAGGTGGGTAGTGTAATTTAGGTGGCGATGAAACCCTTATTTTTAGCAACAACTAGAAACACAGCCTTGGAATGCACCACAGGTTCTATTTCCTATCACTAGTTTAAACAAGGAACCAGAAAATTAAGTTAAGCCAAGAAATTATACCATTTTAGGCAACAAGTGTAAGATGAGCAAATAAAAGCAGATTTTGTCATGAATCACGAAGGCCTTGGGGTTTCATGCACCTAGAACAGGCTACCAATGCATTACAGTCAAGCCTCTAATCATAAATCCACTTTTTTTGGCTTCTGTATATTTTATTACCTAAAATTGGAAAAACGTAAAGCAACTTACTCTTCGAACTTTGTGCCAAGTCATATTAAAAGTGGAGCTTTTTACTTGGTTCGGAATGAAATTTTCTACTCGTTACGTGAAGATGAAGACAGAGAAACGTTGTACGTCAAGATTTTTCGACCATCTAATTTTCTCTCCACGCGAAGATTGACATTCCTTTTCCTCTTATCAGAGAGTCCAAAAAATCCGTTTGAGTGACCGTTTTTATATACGAGATCAAGACAAAAGGTCAAATATTGCGTAAACTGTTAAATCCATATTTTTGAAAGAAAGCTGATAAAGAAAACGAGGTCGATGCAATATGTATTTATTGCGAAACTGGGTTACACCATGAACGTTTCAAATCTCAATTTACAATGATGGGAAGGTGACTGGGAGAGGGGCTCCAGTTCCGAATTCGAAGCTCTCCAATTTGGCAATGATCTCCAAGAGCTTGGCGATCAATTCAGCGAGGGGGTTTTCGGAAGGAAGGGTGATTCCGAAGGGAATATCTCTCTTGGCACGGCCGCCCTCTTCCGAAGGGACGGTCACTTCCTCAGGGTTGATGGTGGGCAGGTGCAGACATTCCAAGATCTGGTTCAGGATGTCGAGCAGAACGTCGAATGTGGGCTCAGCGGTGACTGGCTCGAAGGCATCTCTCTTGACACGGCCAGCATCAGAAGGGATGGTGACGGCTTCGGGGTTGACGGTGGGGAGGTTCAGAGATTCGAGGATCTTGTTCAGAAGCTCGATGATTACGACCAATGGAGATGGTGGAAGGCCAGTGACTCCAGAGAAGATATCTCTCTTGACTCGATCTCCTTCAACTCCCAATTCGGGGAACGTAACGGCCTCGGGATCGACGGTTGGAAGGTGGAGATCCTCCAGAATTTGGTTGAGAATTTGAACCAAAGCCTCCAAAAGTGGCTCTTGTGGCTCCGGCAAAGTTACAGGTAAAACATTTGGAAGGGATGGGATGTCCGGTAGAGTTACAGGTGAAAGTTTTGGAAGAGATGGGATGCTTGGGAAGCCTTGAGCCATGGAGAAGGCCAAGACGCAGAGGACCACAACACACTTCATTTTGGGGGTTTCGCTGTTTTCGAATGGATTCGAAATATTGATGAAAGGTTGGTGGGCGATGGCTTATATACATATTTTAAGTAAGAGTACATCAATTAAAGAGCTTCGGTGACGTCAACTTCCGTCTTGTCAACCCTCTTCGTACGTTTTTACAAACAGACCAAGCAAAGAGGACCACTGGTAGGGTCAATGGATCTGAATAATTGATCAAAATCCGGTGGGTTTTTGAAACTGAACCCTTTAATAATATGGAATATCGTTTTGACGAAAATAGCTCGGCGTATCACCAATACAATCAGATTAACTGTTTTGTTATATAAGCCATCGCCCACCGACCTTTTATCAATATTTCGAATCCATTCGAAAACAGCGAAACCCCCAAAATGAAGTGTGTTGTGGTCCTCTGCGTCTTGGCCTTCTCCATGGCCCAAGGCTTTCCAAGCATCCCATCTCTTCCACAACTTTCACCTGTAACTCTACCGGACATCCCATCCCTTCCAAATTTTCTACCTGTAACTTTGCCGGAGCCACAAGAGCCACTTTTTGAGGCTTTGGTTCAAATTCTCAACCAAATTCTGGAGGATCTCCACCTTCCAACCGTCGATCCCGAGGCCGTTACCTTCCCCGAATTGGGAGTCGAGGGAGATCGAGTCAAGAGAGATATCTTCTCTGGAGTCACTGGCCTTCCACCATCTCCATTGGTCGTAATCATCGAGCTTCTGAACAAGATCCTCGAATCTCTGAACCTCCCCACCGTCAACCCCGAAGCCGTCACCATCCCTTCTGATGCAGGCCGTGTCAAGAGAGATGCCTTCGAGCCAGTCACCGCTGAGCCCACTTTCGACGTGTTGCTCGACATCCTGAACCAGATTTTGGAATGTCTGCACCTGCCCACCATCAACCCTGAGGAAGTGACCGTCCCTTCGGAAGAGGGCGGCCGTGCCAAGAGAGATATTCCCTTCGGAATCACCCTTCCTTCCGAAAACCCCCTCGCTGAATTGATCGCCAAGCTCTTGGAGATCATTGCCAAATTGGAGAGCTTCGAATTCGGAACTGGAGCCCCTCTCCCAGTCACCTTCCCATCATTGTAAATTGAGATTTGAAACGTTCATGGTGTAACCGAGTTTCGCAATAAATACATATTGCATCGACGTCGTTTTCTTTTTCAATTTTCATACAAAAATATGGGTTTGCAACTCTCATTGAAAGCGATGAAATGGCACGTCAAGAAAAGATAGATAAATCGCGGTCATGCCATTTTTTCTGTCCGATAAAACGGTTTCTTCACTTTTCGAGTTGCGCCCAAGGTAATTGGAAACAGTAAGCTATGCAGCTTGGTCTCGAACAATTCAGATGGTTTTTGGAGGTCTTCGAAGCTACCTCTTGCTTTAGGTGGGTAGTGTAATTTAGGTGGCGATGAAACCCTTATTTTTAGCAACAACTAGAAACACAGCCTTGGAATGCACCACAGGTTCTATTTCCTATCACTAGTTTAAACAAGGAACCAGAAAATTAAGTTAAGCCAAGAAATTATACCATTTTAGGCAACAAGTGTAAGATGAGCAAATAAAAGCAGATTTTGTCATGAATCACGAAGGCCTTGGGGTTTCATGCACCTAGAACAGGCTACCAATGCATTACAGTCAAGCCTCTAATCATAAATCCACTTTTTTTGGCTTCTGTATATTTTATTACCTAAAATTGGAAAAACGTAAAGCAACTTACTCTTCGAACTTTGTGCCAAGTCATATTAAAAGTGGAGCTTTTTACTTGGTTCGGAATGAAATTTTCTACTCGTTACGTGAAGATGAAGGCAGAGAAACGTTGTACGTCAAGATTTTTCGACCATCTAATTTTCTCTCCACGCGAAGATTGACATTCCTTTTCCTCTTATCAGAGAGTCCAAAAAATCCGTTTGAGTGACCGTTTTTATATACGAGATCAAGACAAAAGGTCAAATATTGCGTAAACTGTTAAATCCATATCTTTGAAAGAAAGCTGATAAAGAAAACGAGGTCGATGCAATATGTATTTATTGCGCAACTGGGTTACACCATGAACGTTTCAAATCTCAATTTACAATGATGGGAAGGTGACTGGGAGAGGGGCTCCAGTTCCGAATTCGAAGCTCTCCAATTTGGCAATGATCTCCAAGAGCTTGGCGATCAATTCAGCGAGGGGGTTTTCGGAAGGAAGGGTGATTCCGAAGGGAATATCTCTCTTGGCACGGCCGCCCTCTTCCGAAGGGACGGTCACTTCCTCAGGGTTGATGGTGGGCAGGTGCAGACATTCCAAGATCTGGTTCAGGATGTCGAGCAGAACGTCGAATGTGGGCTCAGCGGTGACTGGCTCGAAGGCATCTCTCTTGACACGGCCAGCATCAGAAGGGATGGTGACGGCTTCGGGGTTGACGGTGGGGAGGTTCAGAGTTTCGAGGATCTTGTTCAGAAGCTCGATGATTACGACCAATGGAGATGGTGGAAGGCCAGTGACTCCAGAGAAGAGGTCTCTCTTGACTCGATCTCCTTCAACTCCCAATTCGGGGAAGGTAACGGCCTCGGGATCGACGGTTGGAAGGTGGAGATCCTCCAGAATTTGGTTGAGAATTTGAACCAAAGCCTCCAAAAGTGGCTCTTGTGGTTCCGGCAAAGTTACAGGTAAAACTTTCGGAAGGGATGGGATTTCCGGTAGAGTTACAGGCAGAGATTGCCACGGTCAAAATTTCGGCTCCGGCTTTTAGCTCCCAGAGCCGGAGCCGAGGCCAAATTTGCAGCTACGGCTCCGGCTCTTGGCTCCGTGCAAAATTTAAAAAAGCCGTCGGCTCCGAATCCCGGCTCCTATGCAAAATGTTTTTTTTTAAAATATTTTTCCAAAAATAAATCTTATTATTGCCAGAGATCATACAGCCAACGTTTTTGCAGTCAAGTCAAATCCTCCGCAGTGTTTTTCAAGCAATTTGGTTTAACAATAACACGAAATTTTTACTTTTCTGACCGCTGGGAAGCCTGGCTCCGACTTTGGGCTCGGGAGCCGGAGCCGACCCCAAAATTTCCGGCTCCGGCTCTGGCTCCCGGCTCGGAGCCGGAGCCGCTCAGAGCCGGAGCCAAGAGCCGGCTCCGAAGCCGTGGCAATCTCTGGTTACAGGTGAAAGATTTGGAAGGGATGGGATGCTTGGGAAGCCTTGGGCCGTGGAGAAGGCCAAGAAGCAGAAGACCGCAATACACTTCATTTTGGGGTTTCGCTGCTTTCGAATGGATTCGAAAGTATTGATGAGAAAAGGTCGGCTGGTTATGGCTTATATACATATCTTAAACAAGAGTACAGCAATGAAGGAGCTTAGGTGACGTCAACTTCCGTCGTGGAAACACCCTTCTTCGTCTGTGTTTACAAATGGATGAAACAACCAATCCCACTGTCACAGTTAGAGTCAAAGGATTTGAATAATTCTGTGATCAAAATTTTGAAACTGAACCCTTTAATAATATGGAATATCGCTTTGACAAAAATAGCTCGGCGTATCACCAATACAATCAGATTAATTGTCTTGTTATATAAGCCATCGCCCACCAACCTTTTATCAATATTTCGAATCCATTCGAAAACAGCGAAACCCCCAAAATGAAGTGTGTTGTGGTCCTCTGCGTCTTGGCCTTCTCCATGGCCCAAGGCTTCCCAAGCATCCCATCCCTTCCAAAACTTTCACCTGTAACTCTACCGGACATCCCATCCCTTCCAAATGTTTTACCTGTAACTTTGCCGGAGCCACAAGAGCCACTTTTGGAGGCTTTGGTTCAAATTCTCAACCAAATTCTGGAGGATCTCCACCTTCCAACCGTCGATCCCGAGGCCGTTACCTTCCCCGAATTGGGAGTTGAAGGAGATCGAGTCAAGAGAGATATCTTCTCTGGAGTCACTGGCCTTCCACCATCTCCATTGGTCGTAATCATCGAGCTTCTGAACAAGATCCTCGAATCTCTGAACCTCCCCACCGTCAACCCCGAAGCCGTCACCATCCCTTCTGATGCTGGCCGTGTCAAGAGAGATGCCTTCGAGCCAGTCACCGCTGAGCCCATTTTCGACGTTCTGCTCGACATCCTGAACCAGATCTTGGAATGTCTGCACCTGCCCACCATCAACCCTGAGGAAGTGACCGTCCCTTCGGAAGAGGGCGGCCGTGCCAAGAGAGATATTCCCTTCGGAATCACCCTTCCTTCCGAAAACCCCCTCGCTGAATTGATCGCCAAGCTCTTGGAGATCATTGCCAAATTGGAGAGCTTCGAATTCGGAACTGGAGCCCCTCTCCCAGTCACCTTCCCATCATTGTAAATTGAGATTTGAAACGTTCATGGTGTAACCGAGTTTCGCAATAAATACATATTGCATCGACCTTGTTTTCTTTATCAACTTTCTTTCAAAAATATCTATTTACAATGCGAATTGAAAGCGAAAAAATCTTGACATTATGTTTCGGCTCGAGTTTCGGGATAGAAAACCTCTTCATTTTACGCGATATTTTGCCTTCGTCTCGTCCATAAAAACGGTCACTAAAACGGGTTTTTTAGACCCTCTGATAATAGGAAAAGGAATGCACGTCAATCCAAAATAGAAGAAAAAATTTCCCGCCCCTTTTTTGGTGATTCGTTCAAAATCCGATAAAACGCATTTTCTTATCTTTCTTCTTTCTTTTCGAGAAAAAAACAATTATTTTAGGCGAGAAAAAGTGCCGATAATTTCGCGACATTTCGTCTCTCTTTTAAACCAATGAAAACGGTACGAAGTTTCGAAACGGTTCAGGAAATGCGCTGGATTGACGTGGAATGGCTATTTCCGCGGAGAAAACACGCTGAGCGTAAAATCTTGACGTTCGCCGTCTGTCTGTATCTTCACGCAACGGATAAAAACCCTTTGGTCCGGATCAAGTTAGACGCTAATTTTAATAAAACTTGACAAAAGTCTCGAAGGACTAAGTTGTTTTATGGTTTTCCAATTTTAGGTAACAAAATATACAGAAGCTACAAAAAGTGGATTTATGCTTACGGGCTTGACTGTAATGCATTGGTAGCTTGTGCTAGGTGCATACAACACCAAGGCCTTCGTGATTCATGACAAAATCTGCTTTTATTTGCTCATCTTACACTTGTTGCCTAAAATGGTATAATTTCTTGGCTTAACTTAATTTTCTGGTTCCTTGTTTAAACTAGTGATAGGAAATAGAACCTGTGGTGCATTCCAAGGCTGTGTTTCTAGTTGTTGCTAAAAATAAGGGTTTCATCGCCACCTAAATTACACTAGCCACCTAAAGCGATAGGTAGCTTCAAAGACCTCCAAAAACTATCTGAATTGTTCGAGACCAAGTTGAATAGCTTATTGTCTCCAATTACCTTGGGCGCAAGTCGGAAAGTGAAGAAACCGTCTTATCGGACAGAAAAAATGGCATGACCGCGATTTACCTATTTTTCTTGACGTGCCATTTTATCGCCTTCAATTAGAATTGCAAATCAGCATTTTTGAAAGAAAATTGAAAAAGAAAACGAGGTCGATGCAATATGTATTTATTGCGAAACTCAGTTACACCATGAACGTTTCAAATCTCAATTTACAATGATGGGAAGGTGACTGGGAGAGGGGCTCCAGTTCCGAATTCGAAGCTCTCCAATTTGGCAATGATCTCCAAAAGCTTGGCGATCAATTCAGCGAGGGGGTTTTCGGAAGGAAGGGTGATTCCGAAGGGAATATCTCTCTTGGCACGGCCGCCCTCTTCCGAAGGGACGGTCACTTCCTCAGGGTTGATGGTGGGCAGGTGCAGACATTCCAAGATCTGGTTCAGGATGTCAAGCAGAACGTCGAATGTGGGCTCAGCGGTGACTGGCTCGAAGGCATCTCTCTTGACACGGCCAGCATCAGAAGGGATGGTGACGGCTTCGGGGTTGACGGTGGGGAGGTTCAGAGATTCGAGGATCTTGTTCAGAAGCTCGATGATTACGACCAATGGAGATGGTGGAAGGCCAGTGACTCCAGAGAAGATATCTCTCTTGACTCGATCTCCTTCAACTCCCAATTCGGGGAAGGTAACGGCCTCGGGATCGACGGTTGGAAGGTGGAGATCCTCCAGAATTTGGTTGAGAATTTGAACCAAAGCCTCCAAAAGTGGCTCTTGTGGCTCCGGCAAAGTTACAGGTAAAACATTTGGAAGGGATGGGATGTCCGGTAGAGTTACAGGTGAAAGTTTTGGAAGAGATGGGATGCTTGGAAAGCCTTGAGCCATGGGGAAGGCCAAGACGCAGAGGACCACAACACACTTCATTTTGGGGGTTTCGCTGTTTTCGAATGGATTCGAAATATTGATAAAAGGTTGGTGGGCGATGGCTTATATAACAAAACAGTTAATCTGATTGTATTGGTGATACGCCGAGCTATTTTCGTCAAAGCGATATTCCATATTATTAAAGGGTTCAGTTTCAAAATTTTGATGACAGAATTATTCAAATCCTTTGACTCTAACTGTGACAGTGGGATTGGTTGTTTCATCCATTTGTAAACACCGACGAAGAAGGGGGTTTGCCCGACGGAAGTTGACGTCACCTAAGCTCCTTCATTGCTGTACTCTTGTTTAAAATATGTATATAAGCCATAACCAGCCAACCTTTTCTCATCAATACTTTCGAATCCATTCGAAAGCAGCGAAACCCCAAAATGAAGTGTGTTGCGGTCTTCTGCTTCTTGGCCTTCTCCACGGCCCAAGGCTTCCCAAGTATCCCATCCCTTCCAAAACTTTCACCTGTAACTCTACCGGACATCCCATCCCTTCCAAATGTTCTACCTGTAACTTTGCCGGAGCCACAAGAGCCACTTTTGGAGGCTTTGGTTCAAATTCTCAACCAAATTCTGGAGGATCTCCACCTTCCAACCGTCGATCCCGAGGCCGTTACCTTCCCCGAATTGGGAGTCGAGGGAGATCGAGTCAAGAGAGATATCTTCTCTGGAGTCACTGGCCTTCCACCATCTCCATTGGTCGTAATCATCGAGCTTCTGAACAAGATCCTCGAATCTCTGAACCTCCCCACCGTCAACCCCGAAGCCGTCACCATCCCTTCTGATGCTGGCCGTGTCAAGAGAGATGCCTTCGAGCCAGTCACCGCTGAGCCCACATTCGACGTTCTGCTCGACATCCTGAACCAGATCTTGGAATGTCTGCACCTGCCCACCATCAACCCTGAGGAAGTGACCGTCCCTTCGGAAGAGGGCGGCCGTGCCAAGAGAGATATTCCCTTCGGAATCACCATTCCTTTCGAAAACCCCCTCGCTGAATTGATCGCCAAGCTTTTGGAGATCATTGCCAAATTGGAGAGCTTCGAATTCGGAACTGGAGCCCCTCTCCCAGTCACCTTCCCATCATTGTAAATTGAGATTTGAAACGTTCATGGTGTAACTGAGTTTCGCAATAAATACATATTGCATCGACCTCGTTTTCTTTTTCAATTTTCTTTCAAAGGTTCGGGGGTCATCGCGACACATTTTCTGGGCAATCTCTGTTGCCTTCAGCTTTGTTGTACAGAGTGCAGCTGTAGTTTGAATTCCGCGAATTTTCAAATTTAACGTTCCGTTAACCTTGTAGATTTTATCATGCTCTTCGACCTCCGCGCTTACTCTCCTGCACTCTTAAAGAGACGGATCGCTTGGAACGCCATTTCTGGACGCCCGACAGAGTGGGGGGAGCCCTGATCAGTAATGAAAAAATGAAATGAATGCGCGAAAAGACGAGTAACAGCTGCCATTTCTTCAACGTTTTATGTACATTGTTTTTGGGAATAAATCTCCTGAATGCGTCGATTCATGTGTCGGTTGGTGTAAGCGGATCTGCCTTTGGTATCTTTACGATTATTCCGCTCCAGTTTGGGGATTTCTTGGGTTTCGAGGGTTCTGAAGCCCTCGAACAAGAGGTTAAAGCGGAGTGAAAAGGTTTTCGTCATTAAAATTTTTTTGGCTGTGGCAAAATTATTTTTTTCCTCTATGATTTTGTCATCTCAGGCCTCGCTGCGTTCTTTTATATTCAACTTGCCAAAAATTGTCAATTTTTGTCAACTTTCGGACAAAAAATCTCGAATTTTCCTGCAAATATCTTTTCTGAGAATCTGACACATAAGCATATATAAAAGTGTTATCTAAATTAGTGGCAAGTTTCATCGAGATCTGAAGGTCGCAGTTTGAGAATTTCCCTATTTATTACAGCAGCGGACCTGATACAGCGGCAAAAAACGTAACATTTTGCATCCGGGAAGTGTCAAAAAATGTGGCAAAATACCTCCCTCTCCAAGTGAAAAAAAACTCCGATTTCAAAGCTCTTTTTGTGGCCCTTCAAAACGGAGCTTTTTTATTTGGATAGGGACTGACACTTCCCGGGTGGGAAATAGTACGTTTTTTGCCACTGGATCAGATTCGTCACTGTAGCTGATTTTTCCAGCTTCAACCTATGATTTCAAGCTCTACAAGATGTCCAAGCTTTTTTCATCTCAATCTGCGCGTCTAAGACCATCTAGCCTCCCCAAAACTACAGTAGCCAACACCCTTTTACCTTGAGCTCCCGGTAATCTCACAAGGGAATGGACTTTATGTGTAAATCGATTTTGGCTTGGGACCTAGTCAGATCGAAAGGTGTATGGTAGTCGATTATTCACCTGGGGGGTAATCTCTGCGCGGGGCTTCAAAGCCGAGAAAATCGGCTTCAAACTTTGGACGAAAATCAAAGGATAGGGATCCCGGAAAAGGAACAATAAAAAGTGTGAAGCAGTGGCCGAGTGGTCAGTGCGCTCGCTTTTTGCGCAAAAGCTTGCAGGTTCGAGTCTTTCCAAGCTCAAACCATCATTTATCGTTTTTACTTCTGCTTTCTTCGTGCTAATCCGGCTATACATTTAAAAAAAGTGGTATAGATAAAAAAGTTAACATAATGGAAAGTTGTTTTTGAATACATCAGGTTGATGGTGTGCTCTGCGCTCTAAAACTGTAAAAGGAAGGTGCAAAGCCGTTGAAAATGGAATGGTTCCGTTTAAAATATACTTCTTGCATCGATAATCGAGTTCAGAGGGAAAAAAATAACAGAAATTTTTGTTTAAAAAAGTTATGAATGGAAGCAGATTCGAACTTGCGACCTTTTGCGCAAAAAGCGAGCGCACTGACCACTCGGCCACTGCTTCACACTTTTTATTGTTCCTTTTCCGGGATCCCTATCCTTTGATTTTCGTCCAAACTTTGAAGCCAATTTTCTCGGCTTTGAAGCCCCGCGCAGAGATTTCCCCCCAAGTGAATAATCGACTACCATACACCTTTCGATCTGACTAGGTCCCAAGCCAAAATCGATTTACACATAAAGTCCATTCCCTTGTCAGCCATCTGTCCCTATTCACCGTACCTTCCTCCAGTTCCCAACTTCCACGAACAGTCATTAATCTCCACCTCTCCCCACCAGCATAACAACCTACGGTACACGTTTCCGACTTCAAAAAGACTGTCGGCTCATTACTTATCGGCCTACTCATAAAAACAAAAACTTTTTCCCGCCTTTTCCCCGCCACTTTTCGGATCACTTTCACCTCGGCGCGCCGCAAAAAAAACGTTCCAAACCCGTGTTGTGGGCCCAATGAAAAACTGATTTTTTGCTTGAAAAAATTGTTTTCGCTCAAGTTTTTTTGGTCAGTTGGTAAAAAGTGCCGAAACGATGCGAAAAAAAAGTGTTTTTGGAGACGACAAAAAATAGATTCAGGAACAATGGCGGTTGAAAAAAGAGCTGAAAATCGCGGCGGAATTAATTCTGGCCCCACTTTTCGATTCGAAAATGGATTTTTTGGGGTTTGAAATGCAAATTTATTGGAGGTGCTGCTTTGAAAATATCAGGCTGTCAGGAAAATAATGAGCACAATGTCGCTGAGCCAATCTTCGCTGAAGTGAAAATCGATTTGATTTTGCGGCACAATTCATTCTCTCGGCGACAAATTTCGATGCAACAGAGTGCTTATTATTTTCCCGACACTGATACTTTTCTCTGCTGGCAACTGAATCTTACATTGAATTTTGCCTTGCCATTATCGTATTTTACCTTTACTTCTTATACCAAAACCCCATAAATTTGCTTGGGGTTCACAATTCATTTTCTCGACAGCGATGCAACTTTTGATGCGAAGAGTTATCCCGACAGACTAAAAAAATTGACGAGACTACTCGCTAAGCGACTCGTCAGCCTACATTCCCAACGCGGGTTCGCGCGCAAAGCGCCAGGAAATTGGCCTAAGCAGATAGGCAAACTAATTGTTCTGTGACAAATCCACATTATTTTCCCGACAAACTGATATCAATCTGTCGGGAAAATAATGAGTTTTATGCCGCTACGATGATCACCTCGCTGAAGTGAAAAAATTGATTTTGCCGCAACACAAATCATCTTCTCGGCGGCGATGCGATTTTCTATGCGACGGAGTGCTCATTATTTTCCCGACAGAGTGATATGCAGACCAAAAAGTGTAGACATTGTTAATCGACGTTTCAGCAGTTGAAGATTTCTTATTTTCCCGACAAAGTGATAGGGAACATATACCACCGTCTGAGGAATTTGTAAAATACGCAGTAAAAAATTTTTTGAAAATTTTCAAGTTATCGTTGTAACACATAAAAATCAACATAGATCTCTGGTTTTGCATAAACTTCCTCAAAATCGCTGAACAAAACCTGCAGCTCAACTTTTTATTGCACAATCTTTCCGTCCGGCCCTAAAATTAGCATACTTTTTCCGCGCCAACGAATGGCGCAATTGCATCTCCACTATAATGAATAAGATGGACGCCGGCTTCGATTACGAAATCATTTTACATTCGCAGACTTTGCGAGGCCAATTGCGAAGAGGGGCAGGTGAACGTCGAAGGTTGGGGATAAACGCAGATTTTTTGGGCTTATTTTTTGGGGCTTGTGAAATAGTTGATATAATTGGAATTAATTGAATTTGAGGGTAAAATACGGCGTAATATGTTGAATTTTTTTAGAATTTGCGAAATCACTTGTTTAGCAATAAATTGCAAACAATTATTTGACATTAGCATTTTCATAAAGTGCATGGACATTTTTTCGCTTTTGCACAGTGCATTTTTCCCTTTTCGCGCGGTGTAAACCTCAAAAAAGCCGTTTGCACTGTGCAAACTCCAAATTTCAATGCACAGTGCAAAAACCTGTGAAATGATCGACATAATTGGTGAATTTGAGGGTAAAATACGGCATGGTGTTTGATAATATTAGTATACTTAGTTGTCTATTAGTATTATATTTTCATACAAATTTTTGTCTCTCTCGCACAGTGCGTCTTAAACTTTTTCCCACACTTGTCGCCAACGCACAGTGCATTTTTCTCTTTTCGCACAGTGCAGACCTCAAAAAAGCCGTTTGCACAGTGCAAATTCCATATTTCAATGCACAGTGCAAAGACTTGCGGAACGGTCGAAAAAATTCCTGAATTTGAGGGTAAAAAACGGGCAAGGTATTTGATAATTTTAGTATACTTACCTATCCATTATGTAGTATTTTGATAAAGTGCATAGACATTTTTTCTTTTTTGCACAGTGCATTTTGAACACTTTCCGACGCTTATTGCCAACGCACAGTGCATTTTGCTTTTTTGCACAGTGCAGACCTCAAAAAAGCCGTTTTCACTGTGCAAGTTCCATAATTCAATGCACTGCGCAAAAACAAAACTTGTGAAACGGTCGATAAAATTCGTGGATTTGAGGGTAAAATACGGCATGGTATTTGATAATATTAGTATACTTACTTGTCTATTAGCACTTTCATAAAGTTCATGGACATTTGTTCCTTTTTGCACAGTGCATTTTGAACATTTTCCCACGCTTGTAGCGCACCGTGCATTTTTCTCTTTTTGCACTGTGCAAACCTCAAAAAAGCCGTTTGCACTGTGCAGTCCCAAAAAAACCTACGTCGCGGCTATTTTGTTGATGAACGGTGCGAAATTAGCGAAAAAGGGTGAATTGCACAGTGCAAAGAAATTTTTTTGTTTTCGCACAGTGCAGACGCCAAAAATCAATCGGACGACTTTCCGGGAAGACTATTACCTCTCCTGCAACATTTGGCTGATCATTGAAGCCTCCTTCGTTTCCTCCTTTCTCCACTGTTTCCGTTTTTCCAGACCAATCCCGTCTTAGCATCAATTCCCCTACAAACATTTTGTTTAGAAAAGAAGTTCCCGTCGCAAATTGGATTGCGTGGAAATTCTTCGAATTTCTTCTCGACACTCTCTCCTTAAAAGGTCATATATCCAGTTTAAACCGAATAATTGGTTTTGGAGAAAGCTGAAGATTCGGGGGGGGGGTTCGCTTGTCATGTTGCAATAGGGTTGGGATTTTTTTGAA